TGGGCTTTCCTTTGTATGTGATTTGTTTCTTTTCTCTAACTGCTTGTAGAATTTTGTTCTTCTGTTGGGTTTCTGGAATCTTAAAAATTACATGCCTATTTTCCATCTTGTTTCCCTTTGAGGTTGCTTTAGGTGATCTGAAAGTCTGGTTTTGTGACTTATTTATGTGTCTTCTCATTTCAGTGGGGGAGAGGGGGTTGTCCTGCTGGTGCCCACTTGGCTCACCTCCTCAGTGCTTGGGTCGATGGTACGGTGGCCCTGCAGGTTCACCTATTCTGCGCTGGGGCAGCTTTGCTCCTCTGCACTCGAGGCAGTGGTATGGTGGTCTGAAAGGTTCACCTCCCAGGTAGTTCAAGTCTTGAACTCACTCTGTAGTCTAGGCTTCTCTTCAAACTTGTCTCTATCCAAGAGCTGGGACTAAAGGAATGTGCATGTGCCGGGCTTCAAAGATAGCTTTAAAAAATCTTATGAAGGGGTTTGTAAAGCATTTAATTTTTTGTCTGTAAGTAGCCATGCAAAGTTTTCTCATTTCACTTTGTTATTTCTCCTTCTTAATTTGTCCTAATATCTCATTGTACTTTTAATAATTTTTAAATTTTACAGGGGCCACACATTTCCTTTTCCACCTTTGTTCCATAGCAGTTTCCTTTTTGTATTTTTCTATTTAAAGAACTTGAAATGATTTTGGTTAAGTATCAGGTGTATGTGATGGAAAGTCTCTAGATAAGTTTTAGAGGAGTGTCCTCAGACTCAGAGTGAAGTCATGTGGCTTTTGTTCCTTGTCAGAGTGGAGGTGTGTTTACCTTTGGTGCTGGTTCCTGTGGGCAGCTAGGGCATGATTCAATGAATGATGAGGTTAATCCAAGAAGAGTTCTGGAGCTGATGGGCAGTGAAGTCACTCAGATTGCGTGTGGCAGGTGAGTGCTCCTCAGAACTTCCTGATACCTAGAAAGACCCAGAAATGGATCTTGTCTTGGTGGTGATGGAGATCAAGACTACATCTAACCACTGTCATTTTGAGAAATCCTAACTGCATGCATATTTATGTTGAAATTTGGGCAGAGTCACATCTTAGTAGAATGATGTGGTAGAAAATGGTTTTAAATGAGCAGAACAATAAGGGGATAGTGTATGGGAAATAAGGAAAAAAGTAAGAAATCCTACATAACTTCTTGGGATTTTTGCTAAGGCCCACCTGCATCTTCCCTTTCACCCTAAAGGTCAAATGCAGCACGACTTGGAGCTCTTTGCATGAGTTGCCATCCTCTGCATGACCTAGTGTGTCAGAGGATAGTATCCTGGAGAGCTAGCCCCTGTGCAGTTATGTGTTAACGTGGGGGTAGGCTCCACAGGGTGCCCCTAAGGAATTACTCTGCTCATGTGAAATTAAAGTCAGAGCCTTAGTGTGTGACTTCATCAGTAGAAACTATTAATGACTTAATTTATTTCTTCATAGACAACACACCCTAGCCTTTGTGCCTTCTTCTGGACTCATCTATGCATTTGGTTGTGGAGCAAGAGGTCAACTAGGAACTGGACACACTTGCAACATTAAGTGTCCATCTCCTGTGAAGGGTTACTGGGCGGCCCACAGTGGCCAGCTTTCAGCTCGAGCTGGTAAGAGTGATTTTCACTGGTATTTAATTATATTTCATATAATGAAAAGAATGATTTTGAATATGTATCTCTTATTTACCTTTCAGTTTTTTGGAGAGAATTAATATGAGGTTTTCATTTCTAACATAAATCAACAAATATTTGAGCATTTACTATGTCTGAAACTCTGTGGTTGAGATCCTAAAGAAGTAAAGCATAAAATGGTAACACCAAGGACATTGGTGGTAGTGTATACATTTTTTTTTCCCATTAAGTTTATTGGTACAGTTTCAGTATAAAATACAGTTACATTCATCATTGGGACCTTGTACCATTACATGAGTATCTTGGTTCTTATTTTTTCCCCTTCCCTTCCCCACCCTTCCCTATTTGCAAAGACTTTGTTTCCATTTTTTTCCTCTTATACTTTTTCTTTTCCCTTTTT